TCTCTCTCCCCCTGCTTGCTCCTCCTCCTGCTTGTGTTCTCTGTCAAAAAAAAAAAAAAATAATAATATAGTCCTTTATTTAAATGACAAATGTTAGTGGTCTCCTTATAGGCATATATTGAAAGTTAAACATAGTAGCCTTTGTAAACCTGCTGGTCAATCCTGAATTCCCCTGAATAGTCTTATCATTCCATCATTTTTTTAGATAGTTTTAACCAGTAACTATAAATCACCTTCTATTATATTAAAGATTCTGGCTGTGATGAATGTGGCAGTTACCCTCTGAATCAGTAAAATGTATTCAGGTGTTGCCAAGTCCTGTCAGATGTTCAACTAGTTGAACGTATCTCATTCTGCTTTTACTTAAGACAGAGTAAGTTTTGCTAAATCAGATGGATTTCTTGTTTCCATTTTTCCTACTTAATCATTAAAATAGTCACTAGTAACTTTCAATAAAAATATTTTTATTTTTCTTCACTAGCTTATGTCTCAGTAAGTTAAAGTCTAAGTACTTGAATGATATCTTTAAACACAAAGTGAAATTTGGGATTCAAATTGGTTTTAATCTTGAGGCATTCAGAAAAGCATAAATCAAGAGCAGTGTATTGGCATAGGATTGGTGTTGAATGAGAGATCTTGATAATTGTCTAATGTTCTAAATTGTACATCTTGCACTACAAAAAAAGTTTAAAAATAGAATAAAATGTTGTTTTGGCATGTGTGCTTAACTGAATTTTTATTTATTTATTTATTTATTTTTAAAAAAGATTTTATTTATTTATTTTTTAGAGAGAGAGAGAGAGCACAACCAGGCAGAGTGACAGGCAGAGGCAGAGAGAGAAGCAGGCTCCCCACTGAGCAGGGAACCTGATGCAGGACTCCATCCCAGGGATTATGGGATCCAACCCTGGGATCATGACCTGAGCCAAAGGCAGCGACTTAACCGACTGAGCCACCCAGGCGCCCCTTAATTGAATTTTTAAAAGATTTTATTTACTTATTTATTTAGAGAGAGACAGTGAGAATGTGGAGGGCAGGGGCAGAAGGAGAGGGAGAGAGAGAATCTAAAGCAGATTTCATGATGAGCACAGAGCCCAATGTGGGGCTTGATCTCACGACACCAAGATTATGACCTGAGCTGAAATTAAGAGTCACTCAATCAGCTGAGCCACCAAGCCACCACTTATCATCTGATAAGTTAGATCATTCAGTCATTGCAGGTTTGTATTGGGATGGAATAATACCCTCTCTTTCTGGATGTAAAAAAAACTAAAGAAAGAAAAAAGAGGTAGAGGGATAGATTAGTCAATCTTAGAAGACCAAAAATATACTTTGAGAGGTGACCAATATTTCAAGGAGTCATTTCTTTCATAGCTACTTAATAAACAGCCTTTGGTGTTAGGCTCCAAAAGCCTCCCTTCTATTAGCAGGGTTTTCCCAGCTGGGAGCTTTCTGCTTTGGTAGATTTGGGGGTTTGTGCCTCTCATTGTCACTACTGATGCTATTCTCTAAGGATCCCTGTAGGGTCCTGCCACAGTAGTCTGCTGCCAAAGTCCTAGCGAAGATGTCAGAAAAGAGTCATTAAAGCACCTAATTTGGGGTGAATCTCATTGTCAATTATACTGATGTACCACTACAGTGGTAACTTTCTGATTGGAAGCTCAGTGGTACTATACCTTCTATCCTTACCTCCAAGCTCCAAGGGTTATGATAAATACCCTGCATGTGATCCTATCCACTCTCCAAAGGGAATCTGGGTTCTAGATGGTAACCCCAAATTACTATCATGAAATTCATCACTTATTGTTTCTCTTCCTTTCTCTAATCAGAACTTTCATTTTCTTTTCTTTTTTTTTTTTTTTGCTTTTTGTGAACAGGCAAATTGATTAAAGTAAGTTTTTCTTTTCTTTTTTTTTTATTGTGTTACGTTAGTCACCATAAAATACTTCATTACTTTTTGATGCAGTGTTCCAAGATTCATTGTTTATGTACAACACCCAGTACTTCATGCAACACGTGCTTCCTGGCACTCTAGTCCCGACATGATCAGTTTGGTGTTTTTTCTTTTTAAATTTTTTATTTAAATTCAATTTTGTTAACATATACTGTATTATTGGTCTTCGGGGTAGAATTTAGTGATTTATCAGTTGCATAAGAGCCAGTTCTAATTTATCAGCTTCGTTTTTAATCACTAAGCCTGACTGATAACTTCCTTGAAGGATAGGAAAAAAGTAAGTAGAAACCTCATGACTTAAAGGGGTTAGTGTCAGCTGCAACACTCAAAATCACCTGCCACAGTTACAGAACTCCTTCAGGTCCAAAGAGCCCAGGTCATAAAAGCAATCTCTTTGGACCTCATTTTTTGTATGTGCAAAATGAGGAATGAACCACATAATTTTTTAGTTTTCTCCTACTTCTAATACCCCAAGAGTCAGTACATTACAGAAGTTTTAAATTAGGATTTTAGGGTCTTCTATTTGCTTTAATCAAATACCCCACTTCCAACTCCATTCTTGTTGATGTCTCCTATATCAGGAAATGGCTCTTTATTAATTTGGTAGATACTTATTAAATGCTTACTATGGACTAGGTACTCTTATGGGTACTGAAAGTACAAAGGCTCTGCCCTTAAGAAGCTTGTGGTCTAGTTAATGGATGCTTTCGTCCTTCTTTCTTCTCCCATCTCCTGCAGGTAGTAAATTATTATTTACCCATCTCTCTCATCATCCTTTCTCTGTCTCCTTTGATGGCTCCTCTTTCTCCTTGCCGTTCTAATGAATCCCAAGGATTCGTCATCCCTCTATCCTGATTTCCCTCCACCTTCCCCTAGAGGGCTCTCCCAATGGCCACATAACATATACTTTCAAAAATGCTCATTTTCTTGACTACTTTAACCTTTTGGCCTTAGGCCATTCTGTCACACTGACATGCCAGGGCAGCAATCCAAGGCACAGACACTGTAGTTCTATTTATCCACCAAGAAAATTAATCACTTCTGCCTAAATCTGCTCTGGGCATTTCTACCTCATTCCCAGTTCTTGGTTTTGTCTCCACTTTTGGATCTTCTCTTGTCTTTCACACTGCTCACTGAACTTGGTTTCTGTATGAATTTCCTTGGGCTGCTGTAACAAATTACCACAAACTATGTGGCTTAACACAAAAGAAATTATTCTCTCACAGTTCTGGAGACCAAAAGTCTAAAACCAAGATGTCTAAAACCAAGGGGTCTGTTCCCTCCAAAAGCTCTTGGGGATAATTCTTTCTTGCCTCTTCTAATTTCTTTTTCTTTCTTTCTTTTTTTTTTTTTTTTTAAGATTTTATTTATTTATTTGACAGAGAGAGATCACAAGTAGGCAGAGAGGCAGGCAGTGAGAAGTTGGGGGGAAGCAGGCTCCCTGCTGAGCAGAGAGCCCGATGCAGGGCTCCATCCCAGGACCCTGAGATCATGACCTGAGCCAAAGGCAGAGGCTTTAACCCACTGAGCCACCCAGGTGTCCCAACCTCTTCTAATTTCTGATGGTTGCTGGCAATGCTTGGCACTCCTTGATCTTTATATGCACATTGGAATCTCTGCTTCCATTTTCATATGGCCTTTTCCCTGTGTCTTTATCTCCCTCTTCTTATAAGGACATTGGATTTAGGGCCTACCCTAATCCAGTATGACTTCATCTTAATTTAATACATCTGCAGAGACCCTATTTGTGTGTGTTTGTGTGTATCCTACTGGTTCTGTTTTTCTTGTGGATTCTTTATTAATAGAGCATGTAATAAACCTTTATTGAATGAATAAACTGAATGTTAAAATGAACAAACAAGCCTTCTGTAGCTATGTACTGATTTCATTTTCCCAGCTTTATTATATTCTGCCTTTCACTAACAGATCAATCTTCCTTTAACACCAGTTTTATCACTTTATTCATCTTCTAAGACATTGACTTCAAACGCCTTGTTTGGATTATCAGGAGCTCACAGTCTGAGTGTTCTATCAAGTAGTAAGATCTAGTGATCAAAAACATAGTTTATGATATCAAAACGACCTCAGTGCAATCCAGGCTTCACTATTTACCAAATATGTGATCTTGGGCACATTATGTTATTTTTCTGAGGCTCAATTTCCCCATCTATAAAACACATGTTAGTACTTACCTCTAAGAACTAAAAGAGGTAAATAAGACAATATATTTCAGAGTGTTAGCTGAATGCCTGAAAGATACTAAGTACTAAACAAATGGAATGTTCTCATATTATTATCTTCATTCTACTCCAATATGAATTATTCAAACTAGTCAAGCTGGTCTCCTCAAAGGCCCAGAGATTTATTCCCAATCCCATGTCCTCTTAGAAGTGCCTTATTTATTTATTTATTTATTTATTATTTGGTCTCTCTTTCTTACTTTCTTAATTCATCATTTTTGAAAGCTAGACTCAAACCTGTTTCTACCATGTCAGTCCTAATTTAGCCAACCTGCTTCCCTGTGGGCAATATTGTGTCTCTATTGAAAATGTTAATTTTGCTCCAGGGAAATGGAGCAGATGTGCTTTTCCATATTCTTCCTGCCAAGTACAACTACAAATCCTGAATATATATTTTATTCTATATATAAAATTAATGGAAGAAGACTTTGAAAATTAGAAAGAAAAAGACAGAATAGTTTAAGACTTAGGGGCACAAAGAACAACACAGTGATGAGTTCCCTGGTTTTTCTTTTTTGTCTCGTATATCCCTAACTTGGAGCTGAAGAAGGAATCAACTCAGAAATGTCAAATAGGCAGAGAGAAAAAAAGCCCCAACAAAAGCCTATATCCAAAGGGTTATTTATCCAAAAGACCAAGAAAGGGGAAACCTGGCAAGCCAGAAAACTTTCAGACAATAACAACTCTACTCCAGCCAAACACCACAGAAAACACTATGGCTTCACTCCCACTCATGCCAGCAAAAGCAAAATGGGGAGTCTAGACTTCCACAATTGTGAGGCATTAATAAGACACTCAGTACTCACTCTCAGTGGGGTGTGTCAGAGAAGGCCAAGTAGGTACGTAGGGAGCCTGGGCTTCTATCCCTCTTCCTTTCCCTGGAGCCATCTCAGAGGAAGCCTAGAAGAGATTCAGGGCTTTCAACATCACTCAATGGTAATAAGGATACTCCTATTACAAAAAAACATGAAAATCAAAACTGAAAAAACAATGTCATTTTGCATTTGTGCAAAATAAAAAAAAAAGAGAGAGAGAGATAAATACTGGGAATTGGGGCAGATGGCAGAGTAGGACACTAAGCTCACCTTGTCCCATAGGTACAACTAGATAACACCCACTTCAGTGTAAATAACCCAGAAAATGACCCCAAACTCCACAGCTAAATGTAGAGAAGAGGTCAGTCACATTGAAGAGGATAGGAAGGGCAGACCCGCAGGACTGTCCATGAGAGGGAACAACCCCGGGGCATAGAGAGGGGAGAAAAACAGACTCTCACATTGGGATAACTGCATGGACAGTATGAATCCCTATAACATGTAGCTTTCAAAACCAGAAGGGCTGAATTTTGTGAGTTCTTACAACCAGTGGGATTTAAAACCTGGAATTTACACAGAACTGTACCTCTAGGAAAAATAATACATTATATGTTAATAATTTAAAAAAGCAAACCTGGAATTTAAAAAATCAGTGAGCTCAGCTCTGGGACAGCTGAGAGGATATGAGGAAATTGAGTTCCTGCCCTCAAAGAGATAGCACAAAAAACAGCCTGCGAAGATTATCATAGAAGCAGCAGTTTGGAAAAATGCCTGGGGCATATGGGAGGGAGAGTATTTTACTAATCTCAGAGTATGTGGTGGTGGGGGGAGACAAAGATGTTGGGAGATTACTCTAGGATCAAAGGAGCTGGCAGGCACCATTTCCTTCTCAAGCCCCTCAAGTAAACATAGGGCCACTTGGGGAATCACTGCAACTCTGACACTTACTAACTTGCTAATATTGCCTCCCTGCACCTCAACGCTTCAGCAGATCAGTCCACTCCAATATACTCTTGGCCAGAGGCCATGCAAAGAGATGTCACAAGCCTGGCAGTATGCAAGCAGCCCACCAACAGTGTACGGAGCACTACTCCCAAGTGACTCCTGTGCCAGGGAGAGGGAAAGATAACCACATAAACCAGTCAGCCTGGGGCCCTAGCAGGGGACTGGGGGCAAACAGCTGGTGTAACTGCAGACCCTGTCCACCAAGAAAGCTTCTTAGGGGATAAGACAAGGAAAGCACCCAGCAGTTTGGTGCTACTGCATCTCTGACAAATGTCTGGTCTGACTCAACTCATGCCCAGACTGCCTCACTAATACCACAGGGAACAAACATTGCCCACAACAGTCACTGTAGGTGACTGGACTGAAGGAAAGAGCAGCTCAGCCACAATAGCAAAGTGCATGAAACTCACATAAGAGACACTCCTGAAGCACCAGGTTCCACCAGTTCCACACTGCACTGCAGGGCACTACAGGACCTCTTCTTCATAATGCCACTACTTTCAAGTGCAGGAGATGTAGCTGACTTTCCTAACACACAGAAATTGACATAGAAATTTGGACAAAATGAGAAGACAGAGGAATATATCTCTGATGATGAAAGAACAAGACAAAATCACATCAAGAGACCTACACAAAACAACATAAGTAAATGCTTGATAGAGAATTTAAAGTAATGCTCATAAAGATCCTCACTGAACTTGAGATAAGGGTGGGAGACTTCAGTAAGACCCTTAACAAAGAGATAAAAAAAAGCAATCAGAGATGAAGAACACATTAAGTGAAATTAAAAATACAAGAGATGGAATTAAAAGTAAACAAGACAAAGCAGAAGAACAAATCAGCAACCTGGAGGAGAAAGTAATCAAGCTAAGCAGGTGATGGAAGAAAACATAATTATGCAAAATGAGAACAGACTTAGGGAACGCAGTGACACCATCAAGTGTAATAACATTTGCATTATAGGGATCCCAGAAGGAGGAGAGAAAAGGGGGCAGAAAATTGATTTGCAGAAATAATAGGTGAAAACTTCCTGAATCTGGGGAAGGAAACTAAAATCCAGATCCAGGAGGCACAGAGATTCCCCCATCAAAATCAATCTAGGTAGGTCCCCATCAAGATACATAGTAATTAAAATGGTAAAAAGTAGTGATACATAGAGATTTTTAAAAGCAGCAAGAGAGAAGAAGGCAGTTACACACAAGGGAACCCCTATAAGCCTATTAGTAAATTTTTCAGCAGAAACTCTGCAGGCCAGAAGAGAGTGGCGTGATATATTCAAACTTCTGAAAGGAAAATATCTGCAGCCAAAAATACTCTATCTGACAAGCCCATCATTCAGAGTAACAGGAGAGATGAAGAGTTTCCCAGACAAACTAAAGTTAAAGGAATTCATGACCATTAAACCAGCCCTAGAAGAAACATTAAAGGAGACTCTTGGAGTGGAAAGAAAAGAACATAAGGAAGAGCAAGAAAAGTAGGAAGCACAAAGGCGGTACAAATAGGTTTAACTATAAATATCAAAGCCTTACAAAATAAAAGAATATAAAGTATGATACCATACCTAAAATGTGGGGAAGGGTGGTGGGGAGGGATAAAGAAAGGGTTCAAACCTAAGTGACCATCAACTTAATATAGACTGCTATATGCTGAAGATATTATATACAAACCTAATCGTAACTATAAATCAAAATCCAGTAATAGATATGCAATAAATAAAGAGAAAGGAATCCAATTATATCATCAGAGAAAGCCAACTTATCGTGAGTAAAAAGACCTAGTAAAGAAAGGAACAGAGAAAAACTACAAAAACAATCATAAAACAAGTAATAAAATAGCAACGAATACATACCTATCAATAATTAATTTGAATGTAAATGGGCTAAACACTCCACTCAAAAGACATAGGTGATGGAATGGATGAAAAAAATAAGACCCATAGATAGGTTACCTAAAGAGACTCATTTCAGACCTAAAGACACATGCAAATTGAAAGTGTAGGGATAGAGAAGGATTTATCATGCAAATGGATGTGAAAAGAAAACAAAGGTAGCAATACATATCTAACAAAATAGATGTTAAAACAAAGACTGTAATAAGAGATAAAGAAGGATGTTATATAATCATTAAGAGAACAATCCAATAAGAAGATATAACAATTGTAAATATTTATTCACCCAATATAGGAACAACCAAATATATAAAACAATTCATAACAAACATAAAGGAAGTAATCAATAGTAATACAATAATAGCAGGGGACTTTAATACCTCACTTACATCAATGCACAGAATGTCCCGACAGAAAATCAACAAGGAAACAGTGGCTTTGAATGACATATTGGACCACATGGATTTAACAGATATTTCAGAACATTCCATCCTAGAACAGCAGATTACACATTCTTTTCAAGTGTACATGGAACATTCTCCAGAATAGATCATGTATTAGGCCACAAAACTAGTCTCAACAAAGTAAAAAAGATCAAAGCATACCATCCATCTTTTCTGACCTCAATGTTATGAAACTAGAATGAACCAGAAGAAAAAGATCTGGAGAGAGCACAAATACATGGAGGTTAAATAACATGCTACTAAATAATGAATGGGTCAACCACAAAATCAAAGAAGAAATAAAAAATACATGGAGACATGGGGTGCCTGGAGGGCTCAGTCAGTTAAGCATCTGCTTCTACCCAGGTCATGATCCCAGGGTCCTGGGATCAAGCCCTGCATTGGCTTCCCTACTCAGCAGGGAGTCTGCTCCTCCCTCTCCCTCAGCTGCTCCCCCTGTTTGTACTCTCTCTGTTAAATACACAAATAAAATCTTTAAAAAAAAAATACATGGAGACAAATGAAAATCAAAACACAATGGTCCAAAATATTTTGCATGCAGCAAAAGCAGTTCTATTTTTTTAAAAGATTTATTTATTTATTTTAGAGAGAAAGAGAGCATGCAAGTGGGGAGGAAAGGTGAAGGGAGAGCAAGAGAATCTCAAGCAGACTCTCCACTGAGCTTGGAGCTCGATCCCACAACCAGAGATCATGACTTGAGCTGAAATCCAAGAGTCAGACACTCAACCAACCGAGCCACCCAGGCACCCCAGGAAAAACAATTCTAAGAGGGAGGTTTATAGCAATACAGGCCTATCTCAAGAAACAAAAAAAAAATCTAAAATTAACAACCCAACCATACATCTAAAGGAACTAGAGAAAGAAAAACAAACAACCCAAAACCAGTAGAAGGAAGAAAATGATAAAGATTAGAGCAGAAATAAATGAAGTAGAAACTAAAATATACAATAAAACAGATCAATGAAACCAGGAACTTGTTCCTTGAAAAGATCAACAAAATTGATAAATGTTTAGCTAGACTCATCAAAGATACAGAGAGAGAGAGGGGACTCAAATAAACAAAATCAGATATGAAAGAGGAGAAGTGACAACTGATACCACAGAAACACAAAGGATCATAGAAGAATATTATGAAAAGTTATATGTCAACAAATTGGACAACATAGAAGAAATGGATAAATTCCTAGAAACATATAACCTCTCAAAACTGAATCAGGAAGAAATAGATCATTTGAACAGACCAATTACTAGCAATGAAACTGAATAGGTAATAAAAAAAAACTCTCAAAAAACAAAAGTCCAAGACCAGATAGCTTCACAAGTGAATTCTATCAAACATCTAAAGAAGAGTTAATACCTATTCATCTCAAACTATTCCAAAAAATAAAAGTGGAAGGAAAATTTCCAAATTCATTTTATGAGGTTCCCATTACCTTGATACTAAAATTAGGTAAAGACACTACAAAACAAAGAACTACAGGTCAATATGTCTGTGGAACATAGATGCAGCATCCTTAAGGAAATATTAGCAATCCAAATAAAATAATACATTAAGAAAAATCATTCACCACAATGAAGTGGGATTTATTCCTGGGATGCAAGAGTGGTTCAATATTCACAAATCAATCAACGTGATACATCACATCAATAGGAGAAAGGATAAAAACCACACAATCATTTCAATATATGCATTATAAGCATTTGACAAAGTACAACATCAGT